TCTGTTTATAGCGTAAATCATAAATACATCAGGATAAAATAAATCTGGCCCAGCATTCACGCTCACATTACTCAGCTCTGGTATGAATGAAGCTGCTTTTGTGTTGTTTAATCTACTTCAAACCCATCTAATCTTATTTTCAGACTCAAATGTGTCTCCAGCTGTTTGTCTCAGTGAATGAAGAACAGTGAGTGTTAAAGTGTCGGACAGATTCCTACCTTCAACAGTTCAGCTCTTCTTTTTGTTCCTCCAACAACACTGTATGAGCGCGGAGGCGTGGACTGCTGACCACAACACAATCTTCTGCTTCTCCGCTTTAGCGCAGTTGGAGAAAGTTGTAGTTACACAGTTAGCGCCACCACCTGGCCTGAAGCGGCTTCACCCTGGAACCGCGCAGTCACGGAAACAGGCGGAACGGTAGTCATTTTAAATTCCACCCGTATTCAGTCAAGTCCCGGCTCCAGCGCTCTGAATGGGTAATAGCAAGGACTCAACCGTGGTCTGAAAATTGGAGGGTTAAGCAGGACCTCTTTAGAAATTATTAAACAGCATTCAGAGAAATTATAGAACATAATGAAAAACATACCCATCTATAACCAACCACAAGAATTCCAACCTGAAAATGCAATAGCTTTAATGACTATAATATAGTAGGAGAAGACAATTATTTGTCCAACTGTGGTCAGATATTTTTCATTGGTTTGATAATGACAAGTTGTAACTATTAATGCTTTACATACAAATTATTACAAATGTCCATTTTAAGATGTTTTGTTCAAAAGTTATGGAACTCTCCAAGTATGTCAACACTGCATTATAGAAGTATAACAAGCACAATTAAAGAAAAAGTCTCACTTCTTTTCTCACTCCCTCATGTAATAAAGCTATTCTTATCTCATGTCTGTCAGTCTCAGCCTCTTGCGTTTCTCTCCTTTTTTTTCTGATGTCTACCATAAAAACACAAATTTATATTTGAGAATAAATGCAGACCTAAAATCACTCTTGCTCTCTAAAGGTTTAACACCTGGAGGCATAGTGGACCATAGGAGCAAAGTTATATAGATAAGCTAAAGTAATAGTGTTCAGTAACTTAACAGTAAGCCATCAGGCAAATACATACTGTGCCCTCAAAAGAAAACCCGATGTCTTGCCGTTTACGCCTCTTCTTATTGCTCTATGAAAAGAATAACTGAGGATCAACCGCCAGGTTTGAAGCTACTTTCATTTCAGTTATTAGCACTAGCTACCACAACCACAGATAATGGTAATGCAACGTTAAGTCATGTTAGTCTCAGCCTGAAATGTATGTCTACACAGTCTCTTGTGTTATATGGCTACTGTACACTAAACAGTTTGCATTAAAGGTGTTGTATAACATGTAGAAAAAAAGAAAATTTACTGCTAAGTTTTTAATGCTTTTTTAGTGAAATACATCCTTCCACTTCCAAAGCAAAAGGAATGCCCTGGACAAATGTTTTGAAGTTATTTCAACTTCAGCCATTCAGCTCCATTCACCCTTCATTGAGAATTTGCTTGCGGGTGCCCTCTGACATTTTGCAGTGATATTTTTGGTTGAACAGGTGAAAAACAAAGTGGCCGGTCTCCTGTTAAACTTTCTCCAAACTCGAGTTCCTTCTTCAAACAGGTCATGATAAGGTAGAGAATTATTACAAGTAATGTGTCTTTTTGTGTGTTTACAACAGATATCTAGTTATAAAATCACCTTTAATCCAAACAGTAGTTTACAGCACAAGATACTGTGTAGACAGTACATATCAGGCTGAGATAAACATTAGTTAATGTTACATTAAAATGATTTGTGGTTATGGTGGCTAGTGCTAATAACTGAAATTAAAGTAGCTTTAAATACGGCTCAACTGATCTTCTTTAATATTAATAAAAACATTTCCTCAGTTATCCTGTTTATAGAGCAATCAGAAGAGGTGTAAAAGGCAAGACACTGGGTATTGTTTTGAGGGCACAGTCAGTATTTACCTGATGTTTAAGGCCTGGCTGTCTAGCTACTGTTACTTAGGCTATCTTACAGCTGGGCCTCAGGCTTATGGAGTAGTCAGAGTAAGAAACAATAGCTATAGAGCTAGGCCTTTGGTTAAAGTTGGAGTTAGAGAATGTCACATTGATAGTGTTAGAGTGAGTGAACAGGCATCTGTAGCAAGCCATTGGACTTGTGATGAAGTTGGAGAAATGAAAGCTAGTACAGACCTATATTTCATCTGATGATGCAGTTTAAGTAAGCCAAAATTAGCTTTCAGCTGGGACTCTGGCTCATAATTTAGACAGAGGAAGTAATAATACGTTTAGAGCTAGGCCGTGGGTTTATGGTGAAGTTGAAGAATGTGAAAGTAGGTTTAAGGCAAGGCTGAGGTTTATGATTTATTCTAACTTCTTGATAAGCATATTCAGATGCCAGATACCTAGCTGTAAGGCTCCTGATGCTTATCTAACTTCACCATTAGCCAAGGAACTAGCTCTAAACCTATTATCATTTACTCTGACTACAATATAAGACTGAAGCCTAGCTGGAAAACTCATCTTGCTTACTCTAAATTCTTCAGAAGGCTAAGGTCTAACTGTATACCTATGGCTACTTACTCTATCTATACTATATACCTGAGGCATAGTTGTAAGCCTCCTTTTGCTTTCTCTAGCTTCATTCTAAGCCTAATGACATGCTCTGCACCTGCTTTTACTTTATCATCACAACTTCTTCATTAGCCTGATGGCTTGCTCTCTGACTTTTTCATTCACACTAACTACATCGGGAGTCTAAGGCCTAACTGCTAACATTCTTTCACCTACTCTAAAAAGCCTACAGCCTGGCCAGTAACCTGCTTACATTTCCTCTTTCCATGGCTTGAAGCCCACATCTGTACCCATTTTTACCAAGTCATCAGAACTTCTTCTTAAGCCTAAAAGCTTCCATTCACTCTAACTTTAGTGTGAGCCACAGGCCTTAATCTAAACCTACTGCTGCTTATTTGAATACATTGTAGGTATGAGACATAGTCGCAAGCCTCCTTTCGCTTACTCTAACTTCATTGTCAGCCTAATGGCTTTTTCTGTACCTAATTTTACATGCTTCATCATAAGCCCAATGCCTAGCTCTTAACTTAGTATTGCTTAATCTTCCTACATTACAAACCATAACGGCCTACTTTTCCTTTTTCCGAGTACATCATGAGCTTAAAGTATAACTCTTTATCTGCTTTTATTTCTCTAACCTCATGTACCTCCTTTCACTCAGGCTTATTTCATTATATGGCATGGCCTAGCTCTAAAACTACAAATTCAAAACATGTCTCTAAACATAGTTTTGCTTATGCTAACTTGATCATAAGCTGAGGACATAGATCTGTAATTACTTCTACTTTCTCATCATACCTTCAACATAAGCATGATGCCTTGCCATGTTCCTTTTTTCATTCACCTCAGCCACCCTAGAAGCCTAAGGCCTAGCTACTAAGCTGTTATTCACCAACTTCAAATTTAGCACTTCCACTTTACAATGAGAGTGCAGTTAGAATAAGTACAAGTAGATTTAGAGTTAGGCCTTATTCTGGTGATGTAGTTAGTGTGAATGGATAGAGGTACATAGCAAGACATTAGTCTTACAATTAAGTTTGAGTAAGCAAATGCAGCCTCACAGCTAGGCCTCAGGCTTATTTATTTCAGCTTCTTTAAAGGTTTGAGGCTTAGCTGTAAGCTACCCTTTTACTTACCTCCTTCCATTCACGCTAACTACATTAGGAGTCAAAGCCCTATTCAATAACCTGTTTTTACTGTCTAATGCCTTGCTCACTATCTCTGTTAATTTCATCATGTTATACACAGCCTTCATCTAAACCTACCTTTGCTTGCTTATGAGCTCGAAGCCTCCATTACACCTCCTGTCCCTTACTCTGTCATCAAGAGCCAAAGGCCTTGCTCTAAATGTAGCATTTACTGAAACAACTTTATGCACTCTAACTACAAAAGAAGTCTGGAAGCTTAGCTGGAAGCCTTCTTTTGTTTACTTTAACTTCATCAGATGCCTAGCTTTAAACTAACTTGTACCCACTGTGACTTTATCATTAACCTGAGGCCCACATGTAAATATACATATGCTCACTTTAAGTTCATCATAAGCCTAAGGTCTGGCTAACCAACTACTTTTTCACACTAATGACATCATTAATCTGAGCTCCACTGCTACCTCAAATTACTCTGACTACTTTAGAAGTCCGTAGCTTATTGATAAACCTACGTAAAACTACTAGTGCTTACTCTACCATCAGCAACAGCCTAAAGCTTAGCTCTTAACGTACCTGTACTCACTGGTACATTATAATTAGCTTAAGGCATACTTTTACTTACTCTTACTGCACCATGAGCCTAATGCCTGGCTCTACATCACAGACCTAAAGCCTAGCTTCTAACCTTGTTTTACTTTCTCTCATTTCATTTTTATTCATCTCATAAATAATTAAATTGATCATTTTAACTTCAGCATACATCTGCAGGACATGTACTATAGCCTTGTGTTTATTCATTTATAAGTAATATCTATCATAATTTTTTTAATGCAGTTTCATAGCTCTTTTCTTTCATCTCACACACACTGGCCTCTTCTGACTCCAAGCTGGAAAGCTTTTAAATGCATAAACACACAAAGGAGAACATTAAAAGAATATGTAAATAAACAGCTCTTAGTATTAATACAAACATACACAAATGTGCATACAATTTTTATTCATAAATATACATATGCATGAAAAAGAAGAAAGGGGAAAAAAAAATCCAAATTAATTTTACGGAAGGTAATGGCAGAAGGCTAGTATGTGCAGATCTAAGATCACGTGTTGGAACATAAACAGACATTGTGATGTCAGCGGGTGCTAGGTCATTTAGAACCTTAAGGTAGCCAGTGCAGTTCTTTTGAAACAGGAGTGATATGAGCTTTGATTAGTTCGTCATGATCCGCGCTGCTGCATTTTGTAGGAGTTGAAGAGGATGTATTGTGTTTATATATTGCACACATGTACACAGGTCCATATTTACGTGTGTGTGCGTGCACGCGCACAAATTATATTCATAATGTAGCATCACTCAAGCGGTAGAGTAACTACAAGCAGACTAAGAAATTGCGCGGGAAAACGGGCTGGAACACAGCACAACCTCACGTAACATTTCTCCCCTCCTCCAAGCGCTCGCTTTCACAAACACGAAACAGAAAAAAAAGCTCTTTATGAGAAAGCGTGGGTGGCTCTTAAAAGAGCCGTTGGGTTTGGGGAAGAAAAAATAAAATAAAAAAAAAGTCACTTCTTACTTAGAGCTAGTGTACTTGGTGACGGCCTTGGTGCCCTCAGACACGGCGTGCTTGGCCAACTCACCGGGAAGAAGCAGACGCACGGCGGTCTGAATCTCCCTGGAAGTGATTGTGGAGCGTTTGTTGTAATGAGCCAAACGGGATGACTCACCGGCGATGCGCTCGAAGATGTCGTTGACGAACGAGTTCATGATGCCCATCGCCTTGGAGGAAATGCCGGTATCGGGGTGCACCTGCTTCAGCACTTTGTACACGTAGATGGCATAGCTCTCCTTCCTGGACTTCCTGCGCTTCTTACCGCCTTTGCCAGCCGTCTTGGTCACGGCTTTCTTAGAACCCTTCTTCGGCGCGGACTTCGCTGGCTCAGGCATTGTTCTTCTCTCCAAATACAACTACAGAATAAGGCGGGCATTCGGCACCCGGCTTATTTAGACTCCGAAATTCAAAGTAAACAAGCTCCGCCCTTCCGAATGCCATCAAACGATCATTGGGCAACAATCAACGGCTCGCTTGGCGGACAAATCTTGGCTCTTGCCCAACCCCTCCTCCTCCTCCTCCTCCTCCTCCTCCTCCTCCTCCTCCCAGCTGAAGTCTTTCCCTTTGTTAACTTTCCCGCGCATTCTTAACTACTGTTACATATACAATGCAATTATCCTAGGCTTATTCCAACTACAGCCATAAGTAAGTTTTTTTATTCCATATCCAATTATAAACAATTTTGGGGGGGCTTCAAGCTAGTTCAAATATTCTGCCCAACACCCTCTTCCGTTGTTCTGGCGTTAGACTAAGATCGCACTAACTCTTCTTTAAAAGTTGAGGGAAAAAAAAAAAGAAGTTAAATAAACCCTAACGTGAAATCCAGCGTTTTCATCGCTACTGAAAAAAAAAACCTCTTTTGATGGGTATGTGGGTGGCTCTTAAAAGAGCCGTTGGATTTAGAGCTGGTCGAGTCGAGCGTTTAACCGCCGAAGCCGTACAGGGTGCGTCCCTGACGCTTCAGGGCGTACACCACATCCATAGCGGTGACAGTCTTCCTCTTAGCGTGCTCGGTGTAAGTGACGGCGTCCCTGATCACGTTCTCCAGAAACACCTTGAGCACGCCGCGAGTCTCCTCATAGATCAGACCGGAAATACGCTTGACTCCGCCACGGCGAGCCAGACGGCGGATAGCCGGCTTAGTAATACCCTGGATGTTGTCGCGGAGCACCTTACGGTGACGCTTCGCGCCTCCTTTGCCAAGGCCCTTGCCTCCTTTACCTCTGCCAGACATCGTCTCTTCTTCTTCCTCTCTCAATCAACAAAAGAGAATCAATGAAGCGCCGTGGCGCCGTACGCGCTTCTTATGCTCCGCTACAGGACCTAGTTGAAGCCAAGGCACTGGAGGCGGAGCCGCGCCGAACAGACGCTACAAAGATTGCAGAGAAAACGTCACACACGATGCAATAAATCGAATAAATAACACTCGTATTATTGTAACTATTACCATTACCAATACCATTATTAGTAGTAGCATTTCACAGCCTTCTAAATCGCATGTTATGTCGAAACGTCAAAAATGGTCCAAAATACAAAAGATAAAAAAGACGGGAAGGAAAGAAAGAAAGGCATTTATCAGAATAGTTTTCGCTGTCTCTGTTCAGCAAATGAATAGTTAAACTACGTAGTCGGTGCTGCAATTATACAAACACTCATATCACATAGAGCAGCGTGGGGTTTTTTTTTGGTGCTCGTAAATTGGTAAATACTGAGCAGAATGCCAGTGTCACACGCTCATACTACTCGCCTGTACCACACACGTCATTCTCAAGGTACTGATTTTCTTGATAAGGTGCTAGAGTGCCCATACTCGTCTTTTTTGCCGTACTATAACGGAGAGACTCGACACTACTTCACTGCACTACGGACACTGCTCAAACACGGAATGAATATCTCAGCAGCTGAAGTATAACTAAGCAGAGTGGCATATGATTTATGCAAGGCGATGCTCGCTCTCATACAATTCTTCAGCTTTCGCGCTTTACACTATATTATTACGTCACAGCACTTGATAAAACCAAAGCGTTGCTAGGACAGTTGCTCTTTTGGCCTAAAACAGTTACGTGGCTCTTAAAAGAGCCTTTGGAATGTTTTGGGGGTAATTTGCATGCACTTAATTTAAGCACGCTCTCCGCGGATACGGCGGGCCAGCTGGATATCCTTGGGCATGATAGTGACTCTCTTGGCGTGGATAGCGCACAGGTTAGTGTCCTCGAACAGACCCACCAGGTACGCCTCGCTAGCCTCCTGCAGGGCCATGACGGCAGAGCTCTGGAAGCGGAGGTCGGTCTTGAAGTCCTGAGCGATCTCACGCACCAGGCGCTGGAAAGGCAGCTTACGGATCAGTAACTCTGTAGATTTCTGGTAACGTCGGATCTCCCTCAGAGCCACGGTGCCGGGCCTATAACGATGAGGCTTCTTCACGCCGCCGGTGGCCGGGGCGCTCTTACGAGCAGCCTTGGTAGCCAGCTGCTTCCTCGGGGCTTTGCCACCGGTGGACTTACGAGCGGTCTGCTTGGTCCTTGCCATAACGCCGGACTCGACTCTTCTCTTCTCTTCTCTTCTCTTCTCTTCTCTTCTCTTCTCTTCTCTTCTCTTCTCTTCTCTTCTCTTCTCTTCTCGACAACAGAAAAAGAATAACCTCACACACATGCCACGGCCCTTTTAAGCGTTCGAGCTCCTCGCCGCTCATTGGGCGTCTTAGATGTGCCCGCCTCACATTGGACGGCTGTCCACGCGTCGGCTAAACGCTATTGGCAGTCTTTTGCCGCGCAAACATTTTCAAACACAAGACACTGCCCCAACGCCCTGGCGGGCTCCTGTGCCGCAGCCAATCTAAGTAGTAATTTTTTTTTTTCTTCCTCACAAGTGCTGTGTAACGTTACTTTGATTTTTTTTTTTCTTTGGTTCATTCATTTTTACACGCGTCATTTATACTTTGACTCGATTCCTGATACAGCCGTTCATGTCTGTTTCAATTTGCCTCATGTGTTTGAATAGAAGAGCTTCTACGCCATACTCAGTGTGCATGTGGTGACGCAGTGCTTTGTGTTTTAAATGCACCCAATAATCTGTAATTATCGATCAACCAACGGTCGCCTTTAATCTTTTTTGGGGGGGGGAGGGGCAAGTAAAAAAACTGCACCTTTATCGCTGAGGTGGGTGGCTCTTAAAAGAGCCTTTGGTTAAGTACAAATCAGCGGAAAAGGCCAATTTACTTGGACTTGACCGCCTTCTCGGTCTTCTTGGGAAGCAGTACGGCCTGAATGTTGGGCAGCACGCCACCCTGAGCAATGGTCACTCCTCCGAGCAGTTTGTTCAGCTCCTCATCGTTACGAACGGCCAGTTGCAGGTGGCGCGGAATAATACGGGTCTTCTTGTTGTCGCGAGCGGCGTTACCGGCCAACTCAAGGATTTCAGCAGTAAGATACTCCAGCACAGCCGCCAAGTAGACGGGTGCGCCAGCGCCGACGCGCTCAGCATAGTTACCTTTCCGTAGAAGCCTGTGCACACGGCCCACGGGGAACTGCAGCCCGGCGCGGGAGGAGCGAGTCTTGGCCTTGGCTCGTGCCTTTCCACCGGTTTTACCTCTTCCACTCATTTTACAGTTCCGTTCACTTACTCAAGTGAAATTAAAATAAACAGCCCCGTTTCCTGAACGCCCTTCATATAGCCAAATCGGCTGCGTTTCTATTGGCTAAAATGCGACGGCCTTCAACAGCCAAATAAGTGCCCTACTGGAAAACCTGCAAAACCTGGGAGAACAGTAAAGCACCACAATTATATATGCTGAAGGCCAAGCCCACCTGAACAACGAGAAGGAGGAGGAGGAGACCACCTCCACATCCAGCAGCGACACCACCACCAGCAGCAGTGCCAGCTCCAGCTCAGAGTCTGATATCATAGATGAAGATGTCCTACCCCTGCCTGATCCTTGGCCTGAAAGAAGAGGGGGGATGGAAGCAGCTACGGCCACAAAACCGGTGTCCCGGTTAGAGGTGACCCAGGTCACCTCTACTCCACCACCGAAGGCTGCAGGTGAAGTTATTCAACTTACTCATCATGACACTGATAATAAAAATCCAGTGGACACTCCCCCAACACAACGACCCCTTAAAATTAAGAGGAAAAAAAAGGTCATGCCCTCAGAAATAAACACAATAAAAAAGATGAGAGAATGAGCACTTCTAAGATTATTACATTTATTTTATATACATAATATGGATAATTATTTATATATCATTATATTATTAATGTCCCTACATATATTTTCTATAAATATTAAGGGGATAAAATCAGAAAAGTATAGACAAAAGAAAATAGGTTGTTTAAAGAAAGCTAAATGTGATGTTATCTGTGCTCAGGAGTTGAGATTGACCACTCAAAGTGACCTAAATAATGTTAAAACACTGTGGACTGCGATGTTATCTATTGGGGAAGACCAAGCCGATGGGGTGGGCATCTTTTTTAAAGAAAAAGTTGACATTATAAAATTCAGAGAAATCGTACCAGGTAGAATTATTATGGCCGATCGTTATTTTAAAAATCTGAAAATGAGAATCATAAATGTGTATACTCCTCCTGACAGGACAGGGAAAATGAGGATTTTTAATAAGCTGTATGAACTACTGTGTGTTGGTTTCCATGTAGTGCTCTGTGGTGATTTTAACACCATCACAGACATCAGAGACAGAATCCCAATGAAAGACATGGAGCTCACCAGAGAGGGGAAACTGCTCAAATCAGTCTGTGAGACGTGCAACATGAAAGACACGTTTAGAGAAAAATTTCCAAATGATTTCGGCTTCACACACATCAGTAACACAGTGAAAACATGCATTGACCGAATTTATGTAAACAGTTCATTAGAAACAAGAGTCATTTGTTACAAGACTGAATACCTGTTGGAGTCATCTGGTGGATTATTTGGGAGTGAATGTAAAAATGAATCTGGGTCTTGTTGAAGACAGAGGCTACTGGAAACTCAACACACAGTGTCTAAAACGTAATGTGCTTTTAGAGTTAGTTAAAGAGCTCGAGAGAATAAAGAGCTTGAAGGTTTTAACTAGATTCAGAATGGTGGCATGTTTTTAAAGAGCAATTAAAGGTCTTTTTTAAACGTAAATGTAAAGAACTTCACCAGCAGAGAAATGAGTGCTATAAAAAATTAATGTGTGAGTATGTTGACATCCAGATGACCCCCAGCAGAAGTTTAAATGAAGAAAATAGATTGACTGAAATTAAACTGCAGTTAGAAAAATTAAACAATGAAATGTTTTTAAATACACAAGTTCAAGCAGGTTTTGGTTGGAATTTTGATGGAAATGTGTGAGATGTGATAAAACAACTAAAAAACCGGAGGGAAAATAAATGGATTGGGGGAATTAAAAATGAGAATGGTGACATTGTTGAAAATGAATATAATAAAAGAAAAATTCTAAGACAGAAATGTGAGAATGACTATAAAAGAGTGGAAATCGATGAAACTAGACTTAGACATTTTTAGACTAATGTCCAACATTACAGGGGGAGAAATTTGAAGGTTTTAGAAGAACCAGTAAAGAAGGAGGAAGTGCTGAAAGCCATTCATGAGCTGAACATGGGTAAAAGTCCAGGTCCTGATGGTTTGCCAGCTGAGTTTTATAAATCTTGTCCAGATGTTCTTGCAGACCTCTTGGTATCTGTTTACAATGAAGGATTAGAAAATGAAGCTTTACATGACTCATTTTATCACTGTGTAATTTCATTAATCTTTAAAAAGGGGGATCGCAGTGATCTGGACAACTGGAGACAAATAAGTGTAATGAATATAGATTATAAATTCTTGGCTAAAGTGATAGTGAACAGAATGTCAGAAGTCATGAATGAAATCATTGAGGTAGAGCAAACGTGCAATAAAAAGGAGATACATGTGGGATAATCTGTGTGCGATTAGAGACATAATCACAACTAAGAGATTAAATTGAAACAGACATGAACGGCTGTATCAGGAATCGAGTCAAAGTATAAATGACGCGTGTAAAAATGAATGAACCAAAGAAAAAAAAAAATCAAAGTAACGTTACACAGCACTTGTGAGGAAGAAAAAAAAATTACTACTTAGATTGGCTGCGGCACAGGAGCCCGCCAGGGCGTTGGGGCAGTGTCTTGTGTTTGAAAATGTTTGCGCGGCAAAAGACTGCCAATAGCGTTTAGCCGACGCGTGGACAGCCGTCCAATGTGAGGCGGGCACATCTAAGACGCCCAATGAGCGGCGAGGAGCTCGAACGCTTAAAAGGGCCGTGGCGTGTGTGAGGTTATTCTTTTTCTGTTGTCGAGAAGAGAAGAGTCCGGCGTTATGGCAAGGACCAAGCAGACCGCTCGTAAGTCCACCGGTGGCAAAGCCCCGAGGAAGCAGCTGGCTACCAAGGCTGCTCGTAAGAGCGCCCCGGCCACCGGCGGCGTGAAGAAGCCTCATCGTTATAGGCCCGGCACCGTGGCTCTGAGGGAGATCCGACGTTACCAGAAATCTACAGAGTTACTGATCCGTAAGCTGCCTTTCCAGCGCCTGGTGCGTGAGATCGCTCAGGACTTCAAGACCGACCTCCGCTTCCAGAGCTCTGCCGTCATGGCCCTGCAGGAGGCTAGCGAGGCGTACCTGGTGGGTCTGTTCGAGGACACTAACCTGTGCGCTATCCACGCCAAGAGAGTCACTATCATGCCCAAGGATATCCAGCTGGCCCGCCGTATCCGCGGAGAGCGTGCTTAAATTAAGTGCATGCAAATTACCCCAAAACATTCCAAAGGCTCTTTTAAGAGCCACGTAACTGTTTTAGGCCAAAAGAGCAACTGTCCTAGCAACGCTTTGGTTTTATCAAGTGCTGTGACGTAATAATATAGTGTAAAGCGCGAAAGCTGAAGAATTGTATGAGAGCGAGCATCGCCTTGCATAAATCATATGCCACTCTGCTTAGTTATACTTCAGCTGCTGAGATATTCATTCCGTGTTTGAGCAGTGTCCGTAGTGCAGTGAAGTAGTGTCGAGTCTCTCCGTTATAGTACGGCAAAAAAGACGAGTATGGGCACTCTAGCACCTTATCAAGAAAATCAGTACCTTGAGAATGACGTGTGTGGTACAGGCGAGTAGTATGAGCGTGTGACACTGGCATTCTGCTCAGTATTTACCAATTTACGAGCACCAAAAAAAAACCCCACGCTGCTCTATGTGATATGAGTGTTTGTATAATTGCAGCACCGACTACGTAGTTTAACTATTCATTTGCTGAACAGAGACAGCGAAAACTATTCTGATAAATGCCTTTCTTTCTTTCCTTCCCGTCTTTTTTATCTTTTGTATTTTGGACCATTTTTGACGTTTCGACATAACATGCGATTTAGAAGGCTGTGAAATGCTACTACTAATAATGGTATTGGTAATGGTAATAGTTACAATAATACGAGTGTTATTTATTCGATTTATTGCATCGTGTGTGACGTTTTCTCTGCAATCTTTGTAGCGTCTGTTCGGCGCGGCTCCGCCTCCAGTGCCTTGGCTTCAACTAGGTCCTGTAGCGGAGCATAAGAAGCGCGTACGGCGCCACGGCGCTTCATTGATTCTCTTTTGTTGATTGAGAGAGGAAGAAGAAGAGACGATGTCTGGCAGAGGTAAAGGAGGCAAGGGCCTTGGCAAAGGAGGCGCGAAGCGTCACCGTAAGGTGCTCCGCGACAACATCCAGGGTATTACCAAGCCGGCTATCCGCCGTCTGGCTCGCCGTGGCGGAGTCAAGCGTATTTCCGGTCTGATCTATGAGGAGACTCGCGGCGTGCTCAAGGTGTTTCTGGAGAACGTGATCAGGGACGCCGTCACTTACACCGAGCACGCTAAGAGGAAGACTGTCACCGCTATGGATGTGGTGTACGCCCTGAAGCGTCAGGGACGCACCCTGTACGGCTTCGGCGGTTAAACGCTCGACTCGACCAGCTCTAAATCCAACGGCTCTTTTAAGAGCCACCCACATACCCATCAAAAGAGTTTTTTTTCAGTAGCGATGAAAACGCCGGATTTCACGTTATGGTTTATTTAATTTCTTTTTTTTTCCCTCAACTTTTAAAGAAGAGTTAGTGCGATCTTAGTCTAACGCCAGAACAACGGAAGAGGGTGTTGGGCAGAATATTTGAACTAGCTTGAAGCCCCCCCAAAATTGTTTATAATTGGATATGGAATAAAAAAACTTACTTATGGCTGTAGTTGGAATAAGCCTAGGATAATTGCATTGTATATGTAACAGTAGTTAAGAATGCGCGGGAAAGTTAACAAAGGGAAAGACTTCAGCTGGGAGGAGGAGGAGGAGGAGGAGGAGGAGGAGGAGGGGTTGGGCAAGAGCCAAGATTTGTCCGCCAAGCGAGCCGTTGATTGTTGCCCAATGATCGTTTGATGGCATTCGGAAGGGCGGAGCTTGTTTACTTTGAATTTCGGAGTCTAAATAAGCCGGGTGCCGAATGCCCGCCTTATTCTGTAGTTGTATTTGGAGAGAAGAACAATGCCTGAGCCAGCGAAGTCCGCGCCGAAGAAGGGTTCTAAGAAAGCCGTGACCAAGACGGCTGGTAAAGGCGGTAAGAAGCGCAGGAAGTCCAGGAAGGAGAGCTATGCCATCTACGTGTACAAAGTGCTGAAGCAGGTGCACCCCGATACCGGCATTTCCTCCAAGGCGATGGGCATCATGAACTCGTTCGTCAACGACATCTTCGAGCGCATCGCCGGTGAGTCATCCCGTTTGGCTCATTACAACAAACGCTCCACAATCACTTCCAGGGAGATTCAGACCGCCGTGCGTCTGCTTCTTCCCGGTGAGTTGGCCAAGCACGCCGTGTCTGAGGGCACCAAGGCCGTCACCAAGTACACTAGTTCTAAGTAAGAAGTGACTTTTTTTTATTTTTTTATTTTTTCTTCCCCAAACCCAACGGCTCTTTTAAGAGCCACCCACGCTTTCTCATAAAGAGCTTTTTTTTTCTGTTTCGTGTTTGTGAAAGCGAGCGCTTGGAGGAGGGGAGAAATGTTACGTAAGGTTGTGCTGTGTTCCAGCCCGTTTTCCCGCGCAATTTCTTAGTCTGCTTGTAGTTACTCTACCGCTTGAGTGATGCTACATTATGAATATAATTTGTGCGCGTGCACGCACACACACGTAAATATGGACCTGTGTACATGTGTGCAATATATAAACACAATACATCCTCTTCAACTCCTACAAAATGCAGCAGCGCGGATCATGACGAACTAATCAAAGCTCATATCACTCCTGTTTCAAAAGAACTGCACTGGCTACCTTAAGGTTCTAAATGACCTAGCACCCGCTGACATCACAATGTCTGTTTATGTTCCAACACGTGATCTTAGATCTGCACATACTAGCCTTCTGCCATTACCTTCCGTAAAATTAATTTGGATTTTTTTTTCCCCTTTCTTCTTTTTCATGCATATGTATATTTATGAATAAAAATTGTATGCACATTTGTGTATGTTTGTATTAATACTAAGAGCTGTTTATTTACATATTCTTTTAATGTTCTCCTTTGTGTGTTTATGCATTTAAAAGCTTTCCAGCTTGGAGTCAGAAGAGGCCAGTGTGTGTGAGATGAAAGAAAAGAGCTATGAAACTGCATTAAAAAAATTATGATAGATATTACTTATAAATGAATAAACACAAGGCTATAGTACATGTCCTGCAGATGTATGCTGAAGTTAAAATGATCAATTTTTTTTTTTTTTTTTAATTATTTATGAGATGAATAAAAATGAAATGAGAGAAAGTAAAACAAGGTTAGAAGCTAGGCTTTAGGTCTGTGATGTAGAGCCAGGCATTAGGCTCATGGTGCAGTAAGAGTAAGTAAAAGTATGCCTTAAGCTAATTATAATGTACCAGTGAGTACAGGTACGTTAAGAGCTAAGCTTTAGGCTGTTGCTGATGGTAGAGTAAGCACTAGTAGTTTTACGTAGGTTTATCAATAAGCTACGGACTTCTAAAGTAGTCAGAGTAATTTGAGGTAGCAGTGGAGCTCAGATTAATGATGTCATTAGTGTGAAAAAGTAGTTGGTTAGCCAGACCTTAGGCTTATGATGAACTTAAAGTGAGCATATGTATATTTACATGTGGGCCTCAGGTTAATGATAAAGTCACAGTGGGTACAAGTTAGTTTAAAGCTAGGCATCTGATGAAGTTAAAGTAAACAAAAGAAGGCTTCCAGCTAAGCTTCCAGACTTCTTTTGTAGTTAGAGTGCATAAAGTTGTTTCAGTAAATGCTACATTTAGAGCAAGGCCTTTGGCTCTTGATGACAGAGTAAGGGACAGGAGGTGTAATGGAGGCTTCGAGCTCATAAGCAAGCAAAGGTAGGTTTAGATGAAGGCTGTGTATAACATGATGAAATTAACAGAGATAGTGAGCAAGGCATTAGACAGTAAAAACAGGTTATTGAATAGGGCTTTGACTCCTAATGTAGTTAGCGTGAATGGAAGGAGGTAAGTAAAAGGGTAGCTTACAGCTAAGCCTCAAACCTTTAAAGAAGCTGAAATAAATAAGCCTGAGGCCTAGCTGTGAGGCTGCATTTGCTTACTCAAACTTAATTGTAAGACTAATGTCTTGCTATGTACCTCTATCCATTCACACTAACTACATCACCAGAATAAGGCCTAACTCTAAATCTACTTGTACTTATTCTAACTGCACTCTCATTGTAAAGTGGAAGTGCTAAATTTGAAGTTGGTGAATAACAGCTTAGTAGCTAGGCCTTAGGCTTCTAGGGTGGCTGAGGTGAATGAAAAAAGGAACATGGCAAGGCATCATGCTTATGTTGAAGGTATGATGAGAAAGTAGAAGTAATTACAGATCTATGTCCTCAGCTTATGATCAATTTAGCGTAAGCAAAACTATGTTTAGAGACATGTTTTGAATTTGTAGTTTTAGAGCTAGGCCATGCCATATAATGAAATGAGCCTGAGTGAAAGGAGGTACATGAGGTTAGAGAAATAAAAGCAGATAAAGAGTTATACTTTAAGCTCATGATGTACTTGGAAAACGGGAAAGTAGGCCGTTATGGTTTGTAATGTAGGAAGATTAAGTAATACTAAGTTAAGAGCTAGGCATTGGGCTTATGATGAAGCATGTAAAATTAGGTACAGAAAAAGCCATTAGGCTGACAATGAAGTTAGAGTAAGCGAAAGGAGGCTTGCGACTATGTCTCATACCTACAATGTATTCAAATAAGCAGCAGTAGGTTTAGATTAAGGCCTGTGGCTCACACTAAAGTTAGAGTGAATGGAAGCTTTTAGGCTTAAGAAGAAGTTCTGATGACTTGGTAAAAATGGGTACAGATGTGGGCTTCAAGCCATGGAAAGAGGAAATGTAAGCAGGTTACTGGCCAGGCTGTAGGCTTTTTAGAGTAGGTGAAAGAATGTTAGCAGTTAGGCCTTAGACTCCCGATGTAGTTAGTGTGAATGAAAAAGTCAGAGAGCAAGCCATCAGGCTAATGAAGAAGTTGTGATGATAAAGTAAAAGCAGGTGCAGAGCATGTCATTAGGCTTAGGATGAAGCTAGAGAAAGCAAAAGGAGGCTTACAGCTATGCCTCAGGCTTATATTATAGATAGAGTAAGTAGCCATAGGTATACAGTTAGACCTTAGCCTTCTGAAGAATTTAGAGTAAGCAAAATGAGTTTTCCAGCTAGGCCTCAGACTTATATTGCAGTCAGAGTAAGTGATAATAGGTTTAGAGCTAGCTCCTTGGCTAATGGTGAAGTTAGATAAGCATCAGGAGCCTTACAGCTAGGTATCTGGCATCTGAATATGCTTATGAAGAAGTTAGAATAAATCATAAACCTCAGCCTTGCCTTTAACCTACTTTGACGTTCTCCAACTTCACCCTAAACCCACGGCCTAGCTCTAAACGTATTATTACTTCCTCTGTCTAAATTATGAGCCAGAGTCCCAGCTGAAAGCTAATTTTGGCTTACTTAATCTGCATCATCAGATGAAATATAGGTCTGTACTAGCTTTCATTTCTCCAACTTCCAAGTCCAATGGCTTGCTATAGATCCTTGTTCACTCACTCTAACATTATCAATGTGACATTCTCTAACTCCAACTTTAACCAAAGGCCTAGCTCTATAGCTATTGTTTCTTACTCTGACTACTCCATAAGCCTGAGGCCCAGCTGTAAGATAGCCTAAGTAACAGTAGCTAGAGAGCCAGGCCTTAAACATCAGGTAAATACTGACTGTGCCCTCAAAACAATACCCAACATCTTGCCTTTTACACCTCTTCTGATTGCTCAATAAACAGGATAATTGAGGAACATTTTTAATTAATATTAAAGATCATTTGAGCTGATTTAAAGCTACTTTAATTTCAGTTATTAGCACTAGCTACCATAACCACAAATAATTTTAATGTAACATTAACTAATGTTTATCTCAGCCTGATATGTACTGTCAACACAGTATCTGGCGCTGTCAACTACGTTTTAGATTAAAGGTGATTTTATAACAAGTAGATATCTGTTGTAAAAACATAAAAAGACAATCACATTACTTGTAATAATTCTCTACCTTATCATGACGTGTTTGAAGAAGGAACTCGAGTTTGGAGAAAGTTTAACAGGAGACCGGCCACTTTGTTTTTCACCTGTTCAACCAAAAATATCACTGCAAAATGTCAGAGGGCACCCGCAAGCAAATTCTCAATGAAGGGTGAATGGAGCTGAATGGCTGAAGTTGAAATAACTTCAAAACATTTGTCCAGGGCATTCCTTTTGCTTTGGAAGTGGAAGGATGTATTTCACTAAAAAAGCATTGAAAATTTAGCAGTAAATTTTCTTTTTTTTCTACATGTTATACAACACCTTTAATGCAAACTGTTTAGTGTACAGTAGCCATATAACACAAGAGACTGTGTAGACATACATTTCAGGCTAAGACTAACATTACTTAACGTTGCATTACCATCTGTGGTTGTGGTAGCTAGTGCTAATAACTGAAATGAAAGTAGCTTCAAACCTGGTGGTTGATCCTCAGTTTTCTTTTCATAGAGCAATAAGAAGAGGCATAAAGGGCATTACAATGGGTTTTCTTTTGAGGGTACAGTAAGTATTTGCCTGATGGCTTACTGTTAAGTTACTGAACATTATTACTTTAGCTTATCTATATAACTTTGCTCCTATGGTCCACTATGCCTCCAGGTGTTAAACCTTTAGAGAGCAAGAGTCTGCATTTATTCTCAAATATAAATTTGTGTTTTTATGGTGGACATCAGAAAAAAAAGAGGGAAACGCAAGAGGCTGAGACTGACAGACTTGAGATGAGAACAGCTCTATTATAGGAGGGAGTGAGAAAAGAAGTGAGACAGTCTTTTTTCTTTAATTGTGCTGACATACTTGGAGAGTTCCATAACTTTTGAACAAAACATCTTAAAATGGACATTTGTAATAATTTGTATGTGAAGCATTAATAGTTACAACTTGTCATTATCAAACCAATGAAAAATAACTGACCACGGTTGGACAAATAATTTTCTTCTCCTACTATATTATAGTCATTAAAGCTATTGCATTTTCAGCTTGTGGTTGGTTATAGATGGGTATGTTTTTCTTTATGTTCTATATTTTCTCTGAATGCTGTTTAATAATTTCTAAAGAGGTCCTGCTTAACCCTCCAGTTTTCAGCCCACAGTTGAGTCCTTGCTATCACCCATTCAGAGCGCTGGAGGCTGGACTTGACTGAATACGGTGGGAATTTAAAATGACTACCGTTCCGCCTGTTTCCGTGACTGCGCAGTTCCAGGGTGAAGCCGCTTCAAGCCAGGTGGTGGCGCTAACTGTGTAACTACAACTTTCTCCAACTGCGCTAAAGCGGAGAAGCAGAAGGTTGTGTTGTGGTCAGCAGTCCACGCCTCCGCGCTCATACAGTGTTGATGGAGGAACAAAAAGAAGAGCTGAACTGTTGAAGGTAGGAAGCTGCCCGACACTTTAACACTCTGGAGCTGGAGACACATTTGAGTCTGAAAATAAGATTAGATGGGTTTAAAATGGATTAGACAACACAGAAGCAGCTTCATTCAAACCAGAGCTGAGTAATGTGAGCGTGAATGCTGGGCCAGATTTATTTTATCTTGATGTATTTATGATTTACGCTATAAACAGACTACTTATTGAAACAGTTATTTCAAAAATGCTCATAAAATGCTGTTTTGCTTTCGTGACAGCTTTTCCTAGTTAGTTCTATAGACATGTCTCTGCCTTGTTGCGGCTACACAGCAGAATTGGATTTGTAGGAAAAAATAAAATAACCCTCCTTTGCAGTGAAATAAAGGTCTGCTGATCGTTCTAACACAATTTTAACAATAAATGTCTGGGTGGGGGTTGCTGGTCAATGGCTGGTAAATTAAGAGCTCGAGGCTAAGTTTTTTAGGTCTGTTTAGAGGGGGGTGTAGTGTGAGAGCAGCTTAGGAGCTTGATGGTGTTGTTTAGATGTTCCCAGTCACAGTTCTGGAGACCCCACGCTCTGCTCTCTATGCTTTTGTGAATGAGGTGTGCTAGATAAAGGAAAGCATAAAATAGTGTATATGAGGTCTCCAGGACTGGGACTGAGATTGGTCTAGAGGTATACATTTCCTTAAAAAGTGGTGGTCCTTGATCTTTTACTCTCTCTCAAGACAGCATGAGTGTGATGGGGCAGATAGCAATATTCATGATGAAGTAATTCTTTCTGCAACCTCCTGTGGTCTAAACACAGTGATTTAAATACAAAATCATTGGTCTTGTTTTTTGAAGTAAAAAGATGCATTTAATTAATGTAGTCAATAGGACAGTTGCTGAGGCAATACCGAGAGGGTGGTGGTTTGGATGGCAAACATGCAAACGAATAACTGTTAACATTTTTTTTGTTTGTTCTTTTCTTTTTCTTTTCTTCTAGAAATGAATGATGTCCTGTATGAAGTCTTCTCCTACACTTCCCTACCCAGCTTAAATGTGCTTTCATAAACACATCAGGACATTCCACCAAGAGGAATGTCAGTCTGCTGAAACAGGTTGAATTTAAGAATATGGCACCCAGAAGACATTCCAGTACTCAGCAAATGTCATCTGGTTCCCTCCACATGAACACATCTCACAGACAAACACAGAAATGCAGCAAGGAGAGAACTCACTACTGCCTGGGGTGTGGAAAGAGTTTTAATCATCAGAGTGCTCTCGAAATCCACCAGCGAATTCACACGAGAGAAGCCATACACCGCTCAGATTGTGTGAAGAGTTAGACATTCAAAGACTCCGTTGTTGTAGAACTGGGTGAAAAGTGACAGTTTGTAGATATTCAAGGCCTTGGGCCTCACAGAGAGCAACTCTTGCTGTCATTAGGATGCACATGAGGGACACTATTGACTGAACCTCACCAATGGCATTGTGCTCAGTTATGTTCCTGAACCAGCCCAAGTCTGCATTATAGTAGAGTACAGCTATTGTATGACCAGGTGTGTAATATTCTCTCATTTCACTTAGCAGTATGCAGAGGTCTAAAGTCGATTTCAAGTGTGGCATTTGCATTTGAAATCTGATGTTGTTAACTCTTTATATGATGTCAAAGACAGCTGCAGTAAAAGTGTGACAGAGAAGAAACTCAGTATCTTGTGATGACTGTGGGTTCCAGACTTCAGCCAGTGATTGAGCACAGATGATTTGCAGACAAGTGTTAAAAAAGACAATTTAATTTATGATTGTTACTTTGTCCAGTTCCTTCTGAGCCCCTAATGAGAGTGTGGAGTATGAAAATTCCTGCATCGTGCACCTAGTTTGGATGTAATACCCTCAAATCAAAGTCTGCACTTTTTGATGCAATTTTGATCTTAGTCAAGCTGTGGTAAAATACCCAACATTACACTAGCTTTACATTGCAGTTCTCTTTGGCAAAAACTGGCTGGCTATTCAGCCATTTACTGTATTCCACCACACGTTATAGCCTAATATATGCAGGTTATTGTTGTTGTGGATCATTCTCAAAACTGCAGTAACACTGATGTGGTGGTGGTGTGTTAGTGTGCGTTGCGCTGGTCTGAGTGGATCAGACACAGCAGTGCGCACACACACACACAGGAGAATATTAAAAGAATATATCCGTAAACCGCTTTTATTATTAGTACAACCATTAACGTATGTGCACAATGAGTTTTATTCATAAATACACGTGCATGTGAAGGAAAAAGGGGAAAAAATAAAAAAAATAAAGCGATACTTTTTTCTTTTTTTTTTCTTAAAAGCTTGCCTTATTGTCTAATAAGAAGGTGGATTTCAGTTCCACAGTTTAGTAGCATAATAACTCAAAGAGGCCTCTTTACATTTTCTGTATTTTACAGAAGGCCAGTATGTGCAGATTTTAGATCACGTGCTGGAACATAAACAGACATTCTGTGATGTAAGTGGGCGCTAGGTCATTTAGAGACTTAAACGCTAGTAGCAGGACTTTAAAATCTATCCTGAAAGATACAGGTAGCCAGTGTCTTTTAAAATGGGAATGATATGAGTTTTGTTTCGTTTTTGTAATGATCCGTGCTGCTGCATTCTGTAGAAGTAGAAGAGAATGCATTGTGTTTATTTATTTTTATATATATATATATATATATATATATATATATATATATACATATATATATATACATATATATATATATATATATATTTCATGTATGTACACAGATCCATATTTACATGAGTTTACACATTATATTCGTAATGCACCATTACTCACACAGTAGAGTAACTACAAGCAGACTAAGAAATTGCGCGGGAAAATCGACTGGACACAGCAGAAACTTGTGTAACGTTTTCTCCCCTCCTCTAAATGAATATTGTGCTTTCCTTCACAAACACAAAACGATAAAATGGCTCTTTATGCGAAAACGTGGGTGGCTCTTAAAAGAGCCGTTGGGTTTGAGAAAATCTTTGTCACTTTTTACTTAGAGCTGGTGTACTTGGTGACGGCCTTAGTGCCCTCAGACACGGCGTGCTTGGCCAGCTCACCGGGAAGAAGCAGACGCACGGCGGTCTGGATCTCTCTAGAGGTAATGGTGGAGCGTTTGTTGTAATGAGCCAAACGGGATGACTCACCTGCGATGCGCTCGAAGATATCGTTGACGAACGAGTTCATGATACCCATCGCCTTGGAGGAAATGCCGGTATCTGGGTGGACCTGCTTCAACACCTTGTACACGTAGATAGCATAGCTCTCCTTCCTGGACTTTCTGCGTTTCTTGCCTCCTTTGCCAGCCGTCTTGGTCACGGCCTTCTTGGATCCCTTTTTCGGAGCGGACTTCGCTGGCTCAGGCATCGTCCTTCTTCTCGAGTACGACGAAGAATGAGGAGAAGCTGCCGGCACCCGGCTTATTTAGACTCTGAAATTCAAAGTCTAACAAGCTCCGCCCTTCCGAAAGCTGTCAAACGATCATTGGGCAACAATCGACGTCTCGCTTGGCGGACAACTTCTGGCTCTTGCCCAACAGCCTCCTCCTCCTCCCAGCTAAATGCTTTCCCTTTGTTAACATTCCCGCGCGTTTTTAGCTACTGTTTTCTATACAATACTTTCATCCCTATCACGCTTGTTTTACATATAGCAAGTTTTTTTTCCCTTATGTCATATACACACATACACGATCATTAAGACTCGAAAGATATAAAATGTATATAAAAGAATAAAATTACGTTAAAATTTTCGTCAAGCTAGTTTAAATATTCTGCCCCCCTCTCCAGTCGTTTTGGCATTAGACTATGGTCACTCTGCCGCCACATATTAAAGTCGAAAAAAATGTGTTGATAAAAATTAATAAATCAATAAAAAATTATAAATATTACTAATAAATAAATGGGGTATACAAAAGCTCTTTTGGTGGGTATGTGGGTGGCTCTTAAAAGAGCCGTTGGGTTCAGAGTTTTTCGAGTCGAGCGTTTAACCACCGAAGCCGTACAGGGTGCGTCCCTGACGCTTCAGGGCGTACACCACATCCATAGCGGTGACAGTCTTCCTCTTAGCGTGCTCGGTGTAGGTGACGGCATCCCTGATCACGTTTTCCAGAAATACCTTGAGCACGCCGCGGGTCTCCTCATAGATCAGACCAGAAATACGCTTGACTCCGCCACGGCGAGCCAGACGGCGGATAGCCGGCTTAGTAATACCCTGGATGTTGTCGCGGAGCACTTTACGGTGACGCTTCGCGCCTCCTTTGCCAAGGCCCTTGCCACCTTTACCTCTGCCGGACATCGCCTCTTTTCTTCTCTCAGTCGACGACAAGAGAATCAATAGAACACCACCACGTCGTACGCGCTTCTTATGCTCCTCTGCAGGACCTAGTTGAAACCAAGGTACTGGAGGCGGAGCCACGCACAACAGACACTGAGAAAACACCACACACGATGGAATCGAGGAAAGCGAGAAAGCACGTAAGGGAAATACTGCCATCGAATAAATAATACTCGCATTATTACACCTACTACTATTACCAATACCTTTATTAGTAGTAGCAGTTCAAAAATTGTCCAAAGCACCAAAGAAAGAAAAAGACAGGAAAAGAAAGAAAGAAAGAAAGAAAGAAAGAAAGAAAGAAAGAATGGAATGTATCAATCACATTTCAAATCATCTTAATTTAAGAAAATATTTCATAATTACAAGTCAAAATGTGTCCGTCTAAGCTGCTCTAAATGTAAAGAAACACACTGTTATGGAGTAAGGAGTTAGTTAGAATAATACAATACTGAAACGTATGAATAAATGTGTGTGTTATATACAACATATCCGTGTTTATGAGAGAATTTATGTAGGAAATAAATGCTAGTTCTCATGCTTGTCAGGGATGAAGCTTGGGCGTCATCTTGTGGCCAGACCTTGCAAGTCCAAGAAAGACCATTAGGCTCCTTATTGCAAATGCTGATCTGTTGTATGAAATGATGTGATTTGGTCGTTGTAATTGCTCTAAAACTATAGCCATTTCATTTCCCTTTTTATTTACGCAGCCTCTCAAACATTAATTCAAGAAATCACCCAGTAACAGCATTTTCACAAACTAAAATATCTCTTATACTACTACATGCAGGTTCACTGTTTCCACTTTCTGATCAGCAAATGGATAGTTAAGCTGCGTAATCGCTGCTGCTATTATAGAATTACTCGTGTCACAAATATTTTTTGTGTTCATACTGATAAAAACTGGTACAGACTTCATTGTATTACGGACACAGTTTAAACACGGAATGAAAATCTCAGCAGCTGAGGTGAAACTAAGCAGCGTGGCACATGACTTCATAGGACGATGCTCGCGTACTCCTTGTGGAGATTTACTGTCACAACACTTAATAGAGCCCAGGGATTGCTAGAACACGTTCTCTTTTTACCTGAAACAGTGAGATGGCTCTTTAAAAAAACATTTTTGGGTAATTTGGATGCACTCCGCTTAATTTAAGGGCCAGCTAGAGCCTTGGGCATGATAGTAACTCCCTTGGCGTGGACGGCCCACAGGTGTCCTCGAACAGACCCAACAGGTAAGCTTCGCTAGCCTCCTGCAAAGCCATGACGGCAGAGCTCTGGAAGCCCTGAGCGATCTCACGCACCAGGCGCTGGAAAGACAGCTTACAGATGAGCAGTTCTGTAGATTTTTGGCAACTGCAGATCTCCTTCAGAGCCAGGGCGTTATGTCGAGCCCAGCGCTTTCATTTAATAGTCTTAAAATAAAAAAAAGGAAAAATGAGCCGAGGTAGCACACAGGGAGGGGAGCTTTTTATAGTAATTTCTTGCCAGAGTTCAGTATCTGTTTCAAGATTTGATCAAGATTTGATCACTGCTTTGCAAATAAAAGAAATTCTGGATATTAATTTTATGTACAGCATTGCTCTCGATGCTCTAGAGCATTCTCCCTCATTTTACAATCATCTGTTATTGTGGACACATTTATTCTTTTTGCACAGCTTCCTCCAAATATTTACAAATATATAAGTTATAAAGCTGGGGCATCTGAAATGAAATGAACAATTACTGAGTGAGCTAAGAGCAGCACCAGAATCTCCTAAATCCTAAAAGCTTTCTATTATAAAGATCAGCTAAAACTTGAGGAATAATATCAGACTTTAGAGTGAGTGAATACAGAAGTACAGAAAAGCACAATAGCACATACTGTAGTATTAAGCTACGTTTACTACATGTTTCATTCATTTGTTAGGCCACTAGTTAAGCAGCTGACGTGGTCTGGATTATCATCAAACTTGTTTTAATAAAAGTCTTTAACTGAAGTTAATACTGCTTTTGAAGTAAAAGATCCTGCAGAACTGCATCTGCAAACTGTACAAGACGAAAAAGAAGCAGAGAGAGAGCGCTACACGACATCCCTCACTGCAGCTTTTAATGAGTGACTCACATTCACAACTCGACCATTCTGAAAAAAGATAGACCTTTATTGCAAATGCAATTTATCACTCAATGTTAACACTGCAATGTTTGTTTTTTGGGTGCTGAAACACTGACACAGAGAAGAATGACAAACACAAACACACCAACTACAGCTTCAGTCTCTTTCTTTTAACATGACATAGCACGTCTCACCATCATACAAAAGAAAGTCAAACATATAATTCTTCTTTAAAAAAATATAACAAGATTAACAGATAAAATGCTAAAACCATATTCACAATATACAGCTAGCATATCACTCTTACTATATAACTCCTCAGAAGCATGTTTTCTTATGCGTACTTAACTGTACAAATGTTCATATCATATTTTACTGTAAATAATAGTTCATGTCTTCAGACATATGTACATTTTCACATATTACATATTCATCTCTTTAGGTCTTTTTACATATAATCTCTTACTATTTATTGAAGTTATTGTATTTTCATTTATTTTTCACTATAAAGATTTTGACTCTCTTTTTTAAATATTCTTTAGAGTCTGTGTGCTTGTAACATACTAAATAGACCAGACAGGTGCGCAATCAGTATGACAGATTTCTTGTATGTGTAACATACTTAACGAATAAAGTAACTGATCTGAAGTACACAACTTTACAAAACAACAAAAAAAGAAGTCTGCATCTATTAGGTTATATAGCATAGAGGAATACATTTAACAGCTGTATTGCCAGCCAGCTTTTGCCACAGAGAACTTTAAGGTAAAGCCTGTCTAACATTGGGTAATTCACCACAGCATGACATAAAAAATGTTTGAAATGTATAAAAAACGCCCATTCATAATTTATGTGATGCAATGTACCCCAAACACTAAAGACAAGATCATATATTGATTTTCAAAAGGAAAATAGACTATAAAATTGAATAAGAAAAATGTTCAGGATTACAGGGACATTAATTTTCTTTTTTGAAAGAATAAACAGAGAAAAATAATCAACAGTTTAACATATTCAAAAAACACACATAACCTCACATGCAAAGGCTTAACTAAACAAGAGTTTAAAGAAAGAAATCATCAGGCTAAAACAGAGAGAGAAAGAGAGAGAGAGAGAGAGAGTGTGGTGGGGGTTGAGAGCACCCACAGGTGTCATCCCCACTGTCTAACAAAGTTACACCTCTATGCAAATTGAATGTAAATTAGACAGTTTGCATATTACATACAGAATTGCATACACATACTGAATCATTATTACAAATCACAAAACTATTACAGAGCAGACTTAAATTGGTTCAGGAACATAACTGAACACAGTGTCATGGTGAGATTCAGTCAACAAAGATAGTGTCCCTCATGTGCATCCTCATGATGTCACCAAGAGTCACTCTCAGTTAGGCCCAAGGCCTTGAACAGGAAGGACAGATTTGAGATGAGCATAAAAGTCCTTTTATTTCACAGTACTCTCAAGGGACAATCAACGAACATGACAAAGAATATCAACATATTTAAAGTCTTTAAAAAATCTCTACAGAAACAGTAACGGAAAGTACATGGATGAGCTGGCCTGTATGCAACTTTATGCCGTGCAAAACAGGCATGCGTAGGCCATTCTGAGGAGAGATCACCAGTTCCACACTTAGACAGCTTGCAGTCCTTCATACGCCAGTGTCTCTTTTACAAAGTTGATCGGTTCTGCCTAGCACATTAGATCTTCACTATCGCAGTCTTCATGGTCATATCTCCTTTGAAGCAGTTGTCAACAAGAACACTCTGAACATACAGAATGTGTAGGAATCAAAAAAGCAAAAGAGAGACTAAGGGGCCAAGCACACTGTCAAATGTTTTTCAAAACATCTATCATTGCATCAGAAATACTATACTAGCTTGGATATAGTAAATTTGAAAGGTAAGCATAATTTGTGATTGAATGGTGAGCTTCTCAATTGTCTTCCACATTTATTACAAATAAAACTAATTTTGGAGGGAAATGAGCTGTAGGTTTGTTTAGGACAAGAATTTAAATTTCATTTTATGCTCATGTTTTAGAAACAGCATAAGACAACAATGGGTGGTTTTCCTCAAAAAACAGTCAGGGCTGGAAGCACCTTACCCTGAATACTTCTACTCCCAGAATGTGTTAAGGTTACATTCATTACTGCCCATTTCCCCTATTGCTCTTAATGCACTTGTGAGTCATCACAGTCTTTGAATGCCTAAAGCTTGTCCCACACTCTGAGCAGTAATACGGCTTCTCTCCTGTATGAATACGCTGGTGTTGTTGGAGAGTACTTTGACGATTAAAACTCTTCCCACACTCCGAGCAATGATATGGCCTCTCTCCTGTGTGAATGCGGTGGTGTCTTTGGAGAGAGCGCTGACGATTAAAACTCGTCCCACATTCTGAGCAGTGGTATGGCTTCTCTCCTGTGTGAATGCGCTGGTGTTCTTGGAGATGATTTTGATGATTAAAACTCTTCCCACACTCTGGGCAGCGGTACGGCTTCTCTCCTGTGTGAATGCGCTGATGTTCTTGAAGAGTACTCTGTTGATTAAACCTCTTCCCACACTCTGTGCAGTAATATGGCTTCTCTCCTGTGTGAATGCGCTGGTGTTGTTGGAGATGACTCTGTGCAGTAAAACCTTTCCTACATTCTGAGCAGTGATACGGCTTCTCTCCTGTGTGAATGCGCTGGTGTTCTTGGAGATGACTCTGACGCTTAAAACTCTTCCCACATTCTGAGCAGTAATACGGCTTCTCTCCTGTGTGAATGCGCTGGTGTATTTTGAGAGCACTCTGTCGAGCAAAACTCTTTCCACACTCCAAGCAGTAGTGAGCTCTCTCCTTGCTACATTTCTGTGTTTGTCTGTGAGATGTGTTCATGTGGATGTCACCAGATGCTTTTTGCTGAGTACTGGAACGCCTTTTGGACGCCATATCCTTATATATCACCTGTTTCGGCAACTTAACATTCCTCTTGCGTGTTTATGAAGCTGGGTAGGAAAGTGCAGGAAAAGACTTGAAACAGGGCATCATTCATTTCTGGAAGAAGAAAAAACAATATTAACCTCAATGTGCAATTCAACAAAAGTAGTCTAATCCAAATCATGAACGCTCAATTTGCATCATCTGGCAATGTAAAGAAAGTATTCCATCTGATGTGGAAAAGCCAATCACCTAATTATTCAAGCTCATCAAATAGACAAATACACCACTAATGTTGTGCCGTCATGCCCATATTGGAAACTCTGGGTCTAAGAAGGATTTCTCCATGGGATTCACATCCAAAAATGTCTGGGATTATCCGAAAACTTCTACTATCACATCCTGTGGTTACAAAATGATTCCAAACTCGATATGTTTTATTCTATGTACGTTTTTCCACTGAATGTTACTGGATCCTCTTCCTTACAAGGTCCTTAAGGAAATTTTCCTACATTAATTTTTTTGTAGTGTCAGAGCTTATTTGACTCATTAGACCTTAATCCAAGTCCATTTTTTTAGCAGATGTTTAGCGTTGGACCAGGTCGACTCGTGCTTCTTTCAAAACCAATCAATCAGTTATTTAATGTACAACTGCATGTTAAACCTCTAAGCTGATAACAGAGCAATAGCCCCAAAAAGTTTATTCTTATTGGGGGTGTTACAACTCCAATGTATCCTTTCTGTGTGGTGTTGCTACTTTGCATTTGTTTTTCTTTTTTATTTTGGATGCAGTTTATAATACATTTTTAGAGTAGCAACAGCCAAAAAAATGTCAAGCCATGTTAAGTATGACAAAAATGATTATTTGGTCAAATTGGCACACAGTAGATCTGCCACTTCATAGTCTTTATTAAGCACAGAGCTAGTATAACAAACAGCAATAACAATGTGAGCGTGGACTGTCTCCTCAAACCTGTTACCAAGCTGAAACACCGAACATGCTACTACAGCAAAAGACAAGTGAATCTGTAGTTCAGTGTTGAATGTAGCCTCTCTGAAAGCATGACACTGTTAGACACTTACTATGATTAAAGTACTCCTAATAAGGGCTACATAAAAGCTAAATAAGACGTACAAGATGTATGAAAAGGTTTGGGAACCCCGGCCAAATTACATATATTGTTGAATTTTTGAAGTGGAGGTAAACATTGCCTCTGCATCACATGTTAAGGCACAGTTACTTTACGTTTGATTAACTTAGAAAATAGAAAAAATAAAACAGTAACTGGGGCGTGTGAACTTTTCAGTGTCAGAAGGTGCTGCATCATGTCAAAAAAACACACTTAGAGAAAAAAGCAAGAAAAAAATCTGTGTCATTCTGAGGCATGTTTCAAACAGAGAGAGGACTCAACTCCTTTCTGAAATCACCGCTGCAACATGACTTTCCCCATTCAGTTACACCCACTCACAAGCTCTATCCCTTCAAACTTGCACACAACATAAACGATGTATCCACAACCATCCACTAACACACCTCCTTCAAACCCAGAACAGAGAAGACAGTCTTACCAACCAGTAAAACAGAACTAGCCACGTTAATAGTTGGAGTCTGTTAAGTTGGGATAAATATTTTGTAATGTTGTCAAACGAGCATTTTTTCCAGCAGCTAAAGAAGTGTTAGCTTAGTAGGGGCTTAAATTAGGCTAACACTTCTTAAAGAGTAAATTTAGCTCACATTTTCTTATCCTGCAGAGTGCTCATGGAAAGTGTTCTAGTTTGGATTTTATGAAGTTCATGAGTCCAATTTTCTATGTTACTGAATAAGTGTGAACTTCTATTGTCAGTTACTGTGTAACTGAGCTTCCATGTAACGAAGACACATTCCTTGTATGTGCAAACATACTTGGCCAATAAAGCCTGATTCTTATTCTGATCAATCTGTTGTCGACTTCACTCTGTTTAACTGAATAGAACAGTGAGGTATTAATACGTTAATACGTGTAAAAAAAGGCTGCAGACAGACCATATTGCCCTACCACCAACTGGCTTTAGCTTCAGTGCACAGTGTTTGCAGTGCTGCTCAGTTTCTCTTTGCTCAGAACTCAGCTGAATACGAAACAACTTTGTTTGAAATTGTTTATGGACAGAGCGATTCACATAGCATGGATGGAGTTTTCACACAGTATGAGATTATAAATTGCAGGTTTTGTCCGTACACAGTGGTCTATTCAACTGTACAGTATGAGTAACCAAAGAACAAGATTTCGACCATCACGCAATGTATGTCTGAATTTAGAAGACATTCAACTACAGCTCACCAGCCAAAAAAAATACTTCAGACGTAAAACTCGACAAGTAAGCTCCTTGGATGCACTAGCCTCAGATGTAATTCCTGCTGTGACTGTACTACAGAGACTGATGTTAAAAGAGACAGACTGGGGTTCAAAACTATTAAACATACTTACAGCTGTACAGAAGCTGATGTGGAACAAAACCCACCCACCCACTTTTTTCCACTACAACACTACTTCATCCAAGATAAATAATGTAGCATATCTAGCTAATTCACATCACTTAAAAGAATCTTGACTTTTACCAATTTTACCAATATAATTATTTAGGTACAATGCGCTCCATTTCACAAATAACTAAATTAAATAAACTAAATTAAATAAACTAAATTCTAAGTAGATTACTCAGTATGGTATAGGGGAGTACTAAAATATGTACTCATATTCGGTCTGAAAAAATGGTATTGATGCATCCCTAGTTTTTAATGTTAAAGTGTTTACAATTATTCACTTGCATGTTTGCCATCCATACCCCCGCTCCCTCGCTGCTGCTACAGCAACGGCCCTATCGATTACCTTAATAAATGCTTTTTTTACCTCAAACAACAAGATGAATAAGATGACCAATGATTCTGTATTTATCAGTAATCACTGAGATACTGTTTACTGTTTAGACCACAAAGGTCCGCAGAAAGAATTACTTCACTGTGAATATGACTACTCATTGCATCACAGTCTTTTCACGCTCGTGTTGTCTGGAGAGAGAGTGAAAGATCCACCAGTTTTCAGTTTCATTGAGATCAGAGGTTCCCAGTCCTGGGGAGTCCACACTATGCATATTGTTTTACTTTCCCTTATCTACACTCCTTCACCTCACTGAGAACGCACACAATATGCAGACTGTGTGGTCTCCAGGATTGGGATTGGGAACATCTGAAGTAGACCACCAAGCTCCTGAATGGCTCTCACAAACAACACCCCCCTCTAAATTGACCTTAAACTCCCATCATAGACACTCCTACCAGCTCTTAATCCACCAGCCATTGAGAAGCAATCCACCCAGACATCCACAGCTCTCAGGAAGCACTACATATTGCTCTAGAACAGTACAAAGTCCAGCCCCAGTGCCAACTGCGGCCCACAGACAGATTTTAAACAGCCCGTGGCCTCTGTTTTAGAGTGCGTTAAAAGTGGCCCAACTGCCAGTGTGTTGCAGTTTTTCCTTTCACCTGATGGTGGCAAAAGTAATGCGCCGCACTGTGGTCAGCGTTTTAAGGGGGGGTCTGGCCTCTTTCTGTTTCCACCGTTATATCAAAAACATAACTGCAAAACGCCAGAGGGTGCCCGTAAGTGATTCCTCAACTGATTGGGCGTAAATAGAGCTAAACGGCTAAAAAGAAACAAAAGTTAAAATAGTTTCTAATCACTTGCCCAGAACATTTCTTTAATTTTTTAAAGTAGAAGGATGAAAATATTTTGAATTATTTGTGAAAAATATTTTGGCCCTCAGGGATGTTGACCACCCTTGCTCTAGCACCAACTGCTGTTTTCTCACCACATTAGTACACCACATTTCTACATTAATGACAGTTACATGACTTCCTTTGCACATTGTTTTAGAAGTGAATGGTTGATCAAATCTGGTTTATGTGTTCAAACTAATAATGGAGCAGACAGCCATGGACATAAAAGACTAATCTTTACAGTTTATTGGTAAATGAAGGGATTGACTTATCATTATCATACAAAAAGAACAAAAGCACATGAGATAAGCAAAGAAAGAAACCGCTAGCAACATGTGTTTGGGACTAACTAACTAAGTAAAGTTGGCTTGAAAGTAAAACAGTATTTTCATCTACTAGATAAGAGCATTATTAACATAGTAAAAGTTTTCCATGTTATGGCAAGCCGTTTTAGCCTAAAATGACACCAGCGGCACAAGTCATAACTCTATTTTTACTAGTAAAGATGTAATTGCTACTAGTCAGAATATAATTCTCACTAGTAACAATAAGAACAATAAATATGTGTAATTTAATTTTAACTAGTGAAATTTATATTTTCCCTAGTAAAATTTTTTAGTACTCAAAATTGAATGACATGTTCTTTTAAAGTAATTACAGGTATCAACATATATCTTTTTACAAATGGCAATAAATATTACAGATCTCCTTTATGAAAATGTCACTCATTTGATAAATATTGATGACTAGTCAAATTAGTTTTCTGACTAGCTATAAATTCAATTTCAGATATCTAAATCTGACTTCTTATAGACGTCAGAACTAATATTCAACATATGCTATATTGTAGAAGATAACAGGCCTCTTTTCTCTGTCACATCCTTAGTGCACATTGATTATAGACTATAGACTTTATTTCAATATAAAAGTTACTCATGGTGTATGGCAGGTTACTACCATGAAGATTACTGAATAAAATCATAACAATGGCTGCCCAGTATATAGGGTTAAAGCAGTGTTATCCCACATGCAGCAGTTTATCTTTGCACTTTGTTTAACTTTGACATTTGCACAATGCACATGTGTGGTGCATGAGGCAAACCTCTTGTCAACATTTACCTGCATTTGGCAGGAGGCAGGAGATACTTTGGCTTTCATATTAATCTATTCATTGATATAATAAGGTATTTTCCATGGCTTGCAAAACTGTATCTGCTAATGCATTTTTAACTTATTGGGTTACATTCGGTTAAACCTTTCCAATTTTTAATGAAAAAAAAAAAAGAAATAGATTTTAACCTGAACTAGGCCAGAAAAAAGACTTTGAATAGGCCTAATTTTCACTTTAACTGGAAAAAGAAAAGCAACCTATCCACAATAACTGGTCTCAAAAATAGCCTGCCGTTTATTTACAAAGATGCATCCATCAGGCAACTTAATAGCAGGTCAGATCCCAAGTTAACCTACTTTTAAAACTATATGGTGCAGTTCAATTAGATAAAATAAAACCTAAACAAGGAAATCACAAATTAAACTCTTAGCTTTATTTTATCCTTTAGGGCCCAACCCACTATAAAAATATCATAAAGCTATGGCACACCTGTTAGCTAGCTAAAATGTTGATAATTGTTGATAATTTAACTAATCTTCTGGTTGCTTATGTATTGTTGGTTTCTAGAGCGCTCCAGTCTCTCCTTCACTAATGTGACCACGTTTAATACTTTAAATCTCTTTTTATTTTATTTTAAGTAAATTTTATTTTATTTTAAATCGCAATAACTTCACTGAAGACATCTGTACAGCTATTATGACTAATCTTAACTTTAATTTTCTTTAATTTCATATCTTATTTTTAATTATTACTCTTTCTAACGTAATTCATACTAGTCAAATTGTAATTACAGATATCTGTTTCTTACATATAGAGTTAAAAAGTCGTTATTGCTAGTCAATTCTGACTAGTAGTAATTCTACATTTAGATATCAATAATATTATTCTTTCTAGTCAAAAGAACATTAGATATCTACCACTGTATTTTAGAGATCTAAACTGTACATTTCTCTAATGCATATAATACATAGTCATAACTAAATTAAAGATACTTTGAATTAGTATTTCTACTAGTCAAAATTCAATTATAAATATGTGGACCTGGATTTTTTATTATTCAAACGTAAAGTGCAGATATCTGTAATTAGAATTCCTACTAGTACAAATGCAATGGTAGATATCTGTAATTGTATTTTTACTAATAAAAATGTAATTACAGATAAGATAGAATTAAATTCCATGTAAATCATTGGTAATGTATGACTAGTCAAAATTACATAATGGATATGTCATCCTGGCAATATAACTAGTCAAAATAGCTTTATAGATATGCATACTTGATAGTATGACTAGTAAAAATTGCATAGCAGACATATGGAATCATAATTTTTACTAGTAGAAACTGCATTATAGAGCTCTCGGATTGGAGTTTTTCCTAGTAAAAAACAGCGCTACGACTTCTATAGCTGGTGTCATTTTAGGCTAAAACAGCTTGCCATATCCAAATAGCCGGTATATTGTGTAAATCATTAGTAAACCAGAAAAACAACCAAATATCCTGGCATAACAGCTCACATAACTCATTTTGAATGAAGCTGCTTCTGTGCTGTCCGATCAATTTTAAACCCATCAAATCTATTCAGAACTCAAATGTGTCTCCAGCTGTTTGTCTCAGAGTGAATGAAAAACAGTGAGTGTTAAAGTGTCGGACAGCTTCCTACCTTCAACAGTTCAGCTCTTCTTTTTGTTCCTCCAACAACACTGTATGAGCGCGGAGGCGTGGACTGCTGACCACAACACAATCCTCTGCTTCTCCGCTTTAGTGCTGTTGGAGAAAGTTGTAGTTGCAGAATTAGCGCCACCACCTGGCCTGAAGCGGCTTCACACTGAAACCACGCGGTCACGGAAACAGGCGGAACGGTCGTTTCTTAAATTCCCACCGTATTCACTCAAGCCCCGCCTCCAGCGCTCTGATAGAGTAATAGCGTATATGATCCTGGTTTTTATGAAGCATCGAGACATAGATTACAAAAGAAATACAGAAAAACGTTAATGGAATATATATATATATATATATATATATATATATATATATATATATATATATATATATTAATTATGAAATATCATTGTAAAAATAGCTTATTCAGACTAAGCTTATGTAAGCATACCGTATCCTCTAATAAAAAAATTTAAAAGTTTTATGATGATTTTTTTTTCTTTTAATCAAGGTCATGTAACGTTACTTTATAAACTTTTACCTTTATATAATGTTAGTTACAGTATCTTCACAGACAAATGTAAATCTTTAGAGACATAAATTATACAGATTTCGTATGTTTATGTTTATAATCATAATGTATTTCACTAAAGATTAAAGAAAACGTACATGTACCTTTCCTTTTTTCCAGCAGCAAACAGATTTTGGGCAGTAGGACGCTAGCATTACTGCTACTAAGTGCTGATTGGTTGGCATTACTGCTACTGAGGGCTGATTGGGTGGTGAGCTGATCAGCTGACTGGCTGAGTGAAGCCTTGAGCTGATCAGCTCACCAACCAATCAGCACTCAGTAGCAGTAATGCTAGCATCCAAATCCTGTTTACTGAGGAAAAACTGAGGTAATTTTTTTTTTTTAATGTCTTTCTTTTACTTTCCAAAATTAGTGGAAGGTTCCGCACAAATGGTAAGAAATCCATCCATCCATCCATCCATCATCTAAACCGCTTATCCTTTTGGGTCGCGGTGGGGTGCTGGAGCCTATCCCAGCTGTCATTGGGCGGAAGGCAGGATACACCCTGGACAGGTCTGGTAAGAAGGTTTATTTATTTATTTTTTTATTATTATTATAATTAACCATTTAACTCCATTCCATTGTGATTTAGTGAGGACTCGCAGGTGCTCTCTGGCATTTTCCAGTGATGTTTTTGATATAACAGGAGAATGAGGTCAGGTTCCTCTTAAACAAGCTCTGTTCTAACATCAGTCACTGAGGTAAAAGTTTAGTGAGCAAGCAAAAAAAAACATTAACTAGCTGACTAGCTGTCATAAATGGAAAATTTCTGGACAATAATCGCGTTACTGCAATTTTATCACATGGAAGAATGTTCTTAGGCACGGCACAAAGCGGAGTGATAAAACTGCAGTAAAGCACTGCCTCGAGTGACTTATTGCTTTCATAAAATGCCAGATAACATTAAATATGATAAAATACACAAATTTTCAATAAGTTATAAGTCAATTTTAGGTTATTTTTTAATAATAAACGACATAAACAAGTATTAAGCCAAGAAATGTAAGTCACTTAGGTGTGGTTTTGTATATATAATAAACATATCATAACATAGCACTGTTTAATGTAAAAACCTTTGCTTCATAAGTACTTTTTGTTCACCAAATTACCACCTCAACTCTTATTTAGCACCAAGCTAATGGCACCTCTCTTCTCATGCTGGGGTTACATCTAAAATGGCGCCCTGCTCCCTACATAGAGCCCTACGTAGTGCCCTACATATGTAAATACTGACTTCTGCACCCCGACAGTGTACAATACAGCTAAAAAATGAATAATTTGGGATTCAACCAGAGCCATACTCGACATATAGTGCACTACATGGTTACAGAAGGTAGAATTTCAAAACTTACAAAGCACACTATTTAGGGAGCACAGAGCTGTTTGAGATTCAGACTGGATTAAGGCAGATCCAACTGAAACAAGAACATTAGAAGCATGTAAATCATTCAAGTGACATTCTTTAGACTTTTACATTGCTGTTTTATGGTGGATCATTTCGTAAGTTCTTTAATTCAAGCCTGTGATATTAATAAAGGAGTTGTTTTGCATGTTTGCTATCTAATATTAGCCTGTTAAGACCCCCTTCCCCGTGACAAAATTGCAATAATCGCATGGCCTGCAGTGGCTTCTTGCTTAACATTGTATAAAAGTAGCAACAAAAACAAGGTGATAAAATAGTTTTCCTCCAATTCCTATTTCTTATCTTTAAAAAAAATGCAATAAACCATTCCACACATGTTGCTAATCCATTAACAGTAAGCAGCGTTACTAGGCAAAATGAGGGTGAAGATTAAGCTATAACAATAATACAAGTTTAACAATTCATTTATTTTATTTACTGTTTATTTATAAAATGTGATTAACTTCAGTATTCAATAAATAATTAGGCTACATTCATGAATAATATTCACAATAACCATTCCTTATCCACTCTTGGCATAGTTCACTACTTCAATGTACATGCTGTTAATAGTGGCAAAGGCAGGATGATTTAGGATACACCAAGACAGACTAAGCGGGGGGTCACTGAATCACCTGTTAAGCCAAATGCTAAAACCATAGGATTCGCATTTTCCACTGTTAACTGTAGTGTAAAACTGATAAAGAGTCTGGTTCAGCTTTGCTTCGGTGATTTTTTCAAAAGCAACAGTCATTTTTTCTCAGCACACCAAATCTGAAAACAGCGCACAGCCTATATTGTCTGTTTCACTGTACCTTATTCATTTTGTCATTTTTCTAACACTTCTATCTCCCTGTTCTTAATTTAATCTTTTTTTCATCCTGCTCAGTTCTGTCCATCTCTTCACACCATTCGCCCACTGTACCCACCCAATTAATCAAAATTGACCTCAAAATTTTCCATTTTTAATATGTTGCAAACTGTAGCCTGATAGGATTTAAAAACCTGGCGCATTAATATGGAATTTGGTTGTTGTGAGGCTGTCATAGGTGTGTATATTGTGTATTTTACAGCGGCTTCAAACACGACTCAGCCAAACAGATTTTTCGCCCGATGATTCTTGGCTTATCTCATGTGATTCCATTCTTTTGTGTGGTAATGCTATCAAATCAGTCTCCTCGTGGGTCAAGCAAACTGTAAAGATCATTCTTTTTTAACTTTGTCAGCTCCATTGTCAGTTTGTGAACACAATGCAAATCTACCCTTCACACTGCAAAAAGACATCATGCCATGTTGGACATGTAGTAACATGTATAGAAAATATTGACGGTTATATGCTGATATTATCTAATATGAGTATAATTGTACAACTATATGTGAAATTGTGGTAAGAAAATAGATAGTTGTAAGACAACATGAAATGCTTCCTGAGAGCTGTGAATGTCTGGGTGGGGGTTGCTGGTCAATGGCTGGTAGAGTCAGAGCTGGTAGGAGTGTCTATGGTGGGTGTTTGAGGTCTGTTAAGAGGGAAGTGTAGTGTGTGAGAGACATTCAGGAGCTTAATGGTCTAGTTCAGGCGTTCTCAAACCCATAAATATGGGGCCCAGTAAAAATTATGGTCTAAATATAGATTTTACTCATAAAATATTACATTAGGTTTTAATTTAAATAGATTTTGCAATAAAATAATTTTATTTTGGGTAATTAGGCTATTTGTATTGTTGTGGGTTACGAGAACAAAAATGTCTTTATTGCAAGTGAACAAGCAGTTAAACAGTGTATTGTAAAGTTAAAAAAGAAACAAAAATATAAAAATCTTAAGAAAACTAATAATTTACCAAGGGAAATATTAACATGTATGTGAACCTCAGAATCTGATTCATGAAACCTTCGTATGACATGGAAACAAGCATTGATTTTAGCGCAAATGATAGGATCAATCAGATCTCATTTACATATAATTTACACGAAGCATGCCATTATTCATGCTGATGTTTCAGTAGGGCCCCAATAAAACAGCAGCATTCAGAGACGCGTGAGCCAGTGTCTCTGCTCATATACAGAGGTCAAGCGGTTAGTGCTTTGCTCCCCCTAATGACCAAACTTTATAGTGTTAAAATTACGACCACTAAACAAAATAAAGTGTGAAATAAGTTTGTTTAAGTTGGTAGAATGATGTGATTGTGTAATGTGATTATTTAGTAAAATAACATTTAAATACTGTATTATGTAAGAGATGCTTCTGCATTAGATGTATTTGGATTTTGGCTGGTGTCAGAATCAGAATCAAGCTTTATTGGCCAGGTATGCTTACATATGAAAGGAATTTGGTTTTGGTTACAGGAGCTCACAGTGCACACTATCAGACAAACATTTACATTTAGTGAATAAAATAAAATAAAATAAAATAAATAAATAAAATAAAATAAAACATGCATTCCTACCATCACTCACTCATGCACACACACACACACACACACACACACACACACACAACACACAGTCATACCTGTAACCTTTACATTGTGCAGAGAATGTGTCTTAAGTTAAAGTGCTGAGTGCAGCAGCAGTTAAAGAGTGTATAGTGGCAAAGAAAGGGGTAAGTGAGGGAACAGTCAGATAAGAGGGGCAATAAGGCAGATAAGTGAGGTGCTAGAATAAACACTGGTCTGAGACAGTAGTTTCAGGAGTTGAGGATGGAGTTGAGTGTGATACTTTAGAAGTGCAGATTAGAAGCTGGAATATTGTCTTTGTGTAATAATTAACTGTTTAAGAGAGTGATGGCTTGTGGGAAGAAGCTTCTCTGTAGCCTGGATGTCCTGATCTTCATCTGGCTGAAGCGCCGACCTGAGGGAAGGAGCTGGAACTGGGGGCGTCCGGGGTGTGACGAGTCAGCAGAGATTTTCTCTGCACGCTTCCTGGTTCTGATGGCATGCAGTTCCAGCAATGTGGGCAACTTAACCCCAATTGTCCTCTCTGCAGATCTGATGATGCGCTGCAGTATGTGGAGGTCGTGCTTGGTGGCTGAGCTACCCCACACTGTGATGGACATGGTGATGATGGACAGTATGATGGCTGTGTAGAAACGCTCAGCTCCTGGGGCAGGTTGAACTTCCTCAGCTG